CCCCCCCCATGTTCAGGCAGGAGACCACTGACATATAGCTAACACTGCCACACAAGTTTGAATGAGTTCCAGACTTAATATTTGCTCACACCATATAACAATAAGATCATAATCTTCAACAAAAAAACACCTACAGAGTGTCATGTTTGGTTAAAGAAAGGACAAAATTTCTCAAAATGATTTAAATATAATTTTGTCGTGAAAGTTCTTTTTATGTTCAGTTCAAATTTGGGAATATTTCATAACAGATTTTCGATTTGACATTTAATGTTTAAATTTTTCAAAATGTTTGGCATACCGGTACATCTATTTTGTGAAATTTTTGTTAATCAAAATACTTTGCAATCAATTTCAAAAATTCCAAAATAAAAAAATAAAATGTTTGAAAAATACTGTAAAAAATATATAATGGAATATTATCATAACTGCTTTACAAAAAAATTATGGAGATTTATTGCACAACTAAACTTGAATGGTGTGGCCACTAATGTTGTGAAGTGGATACATATAATGACATAATACTATAAAGACCCCAAACCATCGTGGATTTTTTATTAGTAATTAAAGTCAGCAATAAAATATATCATAACTGTTATATAATAGATATCGGCACTGTTATGTTTTTCAGAACAAGAAAAATACCCCCTCCCCTCAAAAAATTACCAAAAGCAACAACAAAACCAAACCCAAGGTCCACTCCTGGACTATCTACTACATGTAGCAATATTAGATTTTAAATATACAGTATCAAAATGAAAGATGAATACCTTGACAAAGAAACCATTATATTTACATTTGCTCTGCATCCTTCCATTGCAATGCATTGAGAAGGCAAATGTTGTTATGAGATTATAACATCATTTGCTATTGTAAGGTCATCAATCTCTATTGTGACGTCATCAGTTTCATTGTTGTCAATACTTCATTTGCTGTTCAAAAACTGTTTCGAAATAACTAAATAGAGCATAACTGCTCTATCAAAATGTAAATATAAGTAATGAATATTTTAGCAAATGTTGTTATGTCCCTATAACACACATTGCTATTGATGACAAACTTATTAAAGCCCAGTATTTAAAAACAGGATTTGTCTGACTAATAGAGGCCCTAGGGTGGTAGTGTTTGACCAGTATCATGTTAGAATGAAGGGCAATGAAGTTTGTTTACATATACAACCTTGACTAACATTTAAAGTCAGAGGGGCCATGCAGATGTGAAACCTTGTAAACAACTTTTGAATAACCAATAGGTGATGGTATTTGGTCACTAGCATACAGAGATAAAGGGCTATTACATTTTTCCTAATAAATGACCTTGACCAAGTTTTGGTCACAGAGGTCAAGTAAAAAAAAATAATCTTCTTCTTGTTTGTTAATTAAATAATCTCGTTTCATTCATTTTTCAAGATGGTATGAATAGTGTCCACTATAGACAGGTGGCCTTTCACACAGGTTATTTACTTGTATTTATTAATCCATTGTAATAATAGCCCATCCTATGTATTCATGGTATATGCAAGTGGAGTTTTGTTCATCGTTATTATGGCAATATTTCCTTTATACACAGGTTTTTATCTACAGTAGTTTGGAGTTGATACACAGGTTGTCTTTAAGTTAAGGGTAAATTGTGGTGTTATGAAACATTTTTACGCATGTAATTCTCTAAAGTGACAGGACTTTGGAGCTGTCCTTTATTGACAAGTTGTCTATCAACACAGGTTAACCTGTGATAAGTGGATCTTTCAGATGTCCGTTAAAGACAGGTTCTCATTTGATACTTGTTAATATGTGACAAACAAACTTTGGAGTTGTCCGATTTTTAGACATTATGTCTGTGAGGGCAGGTCCTTTTCACTGATTTTGATGATGGAGGTTTTTGCCTATTATCAGATTTCATAAGGGTGAGAGGTCAGCAGTGGGAGGTCAGGGGTCACACATTCAAGATAAGTTGGTCAATGACTTTAAATAGCCTTGGTCCCATACTAGTCCTACTATTTATGTTAGCTACTTTAGATAGCCTTGGTCCCATACTATTCCTACTATTTATGTTAGCTGTGTCAAGCCTATTTTGGGAAATACTTGGGATATGTAGTAAACTGGTTATCTATCTACTTGTATTGCGGTCATCAGATAAGGATTCAATGTCATAGAAACCAGATTGCTTAATAATTCAAGTGACACATTTACTGCTACATAACTTCACCTCTGGGTATTATAAACGTTTCCCTAGATTATTCAAATTATGCAACAATTACGTATAAGTGGTATTAAGTTTCATTTGTCTTGGTCTTACGGAGAAGTGTCACAAATACAATGAATAAGAAAATTATAATATTACATAACATTTTCCCTGAATTATTTAAATTATGCAACAATGAAGTATTAGTGATATTGAACATTCAGATCTTTTGAAGATGCTGCCACTCCGTCACCTTTTTGCACATGTGTGTTGATACGTTTATTTGCTTGAAGATATATATCTTGTTGTTCTTATTATTCACAATTTGGTTGATGTGTGGGGAGATTTTCCAGCCAATCGTCACTTTGCTTGCACAATCACATAAGTTTACTGATTTACCAATTACAAACTATTTAAATATCTATAAATCCAAACATTCTATTTAAATATCTATAAATCCAAACATTCTATTTAAATATCTATAAATCCAAACATTCTATTTAAATGTCTATAAATCCAAACATTCTATTTAAATATCTATAAATCCAAACATTCTATTTAAATATCTATAAATCCAAACATTCTATTTAAATATCTATAAATCCAAACATTCTATTTAAATGTCTATAAATCCAAACATTCTATTTAAATATCTATAAATCCAAACATTCTATTTAAATATCTATAAATCCAAACATTCTATTTAAATATCTATAAATCCAAACATTCTATTTAAATATCTATAAATCCAAACATTCTATTTAAATATCTATAAATCCAAACATTCTATTTAAATGTCTATAAATCCAAACATTCTATTTAAATATCTATAAATCCAAACATTCTATTTAAATATCTATAAATCCAAACATTCTATTTAAATATCTATAAATCCAAACATTCTATTTAAATATCTTTAAATCCAAACATTCTATTTAAATGTCTATAAATCCAAACATTCTATTTAAATATCTATAAATCCAAACATTCTATTTAAATATCTTTAAATCCAAACATTCTATTTAAATATCTATAAATCCAAACATTCTATTTAAATATCTATAAATCCAAACATTCTATTTAAATGTCTATAAATCCAAACATTCTATTTAAATTTCTTTAAATCCAAACATTCTATTTAAATATCTTTAAATCCAAACATTCTATTTAAATATCTTTAAATCCAAACATTCTATTTAAATATCTTTAAATCCAAACATTCTATTTAAATGTCTATAAATCCAAACATTCTATTTAAATATCTATAAATCTAAACATTCTATTTAAATGTCTATAAATCCAAGCATTTCAAACCATACTTAAGTATAAACAGATCCTGATATAAAAAATCTCAGCCGAGCTCATGTCTTCAATTTCAATAAAATTATTGGAAAATTGACATCTGCTTCATTTTTGTCCATGTATTCATTTATAAAATTATAAGAAATACTTTTTTTAGTTCATTTGAGACTGAAAATAGCAAAAAAAAGTCATTCTTTGAATTTGTTACTTTTTAATCCTATAACAATGGTTAAAACTTGCAAAATTGTTACTCCTTGAAAATTCCAAAGAAAAAGCAATGAAATTCAGCTCAGTCTTAATCTCTGTTAAAGCAAGCCTCTCTACGCTAATGTTAAAGCAAGCCTCTCTACGCTAATGTTAAAGCAAGCCTCTCTATGCTAATGATAAAGCAAGCCTCTCTATGCTAATGATAAAGCAAGCCTCTCTACGCTAATGATAAAGCAGGTCCAGTTCTAAAATCAAATTTTCCAAAAGTAGTTAAAGAAATATTTATTATCATTTTTTTTATCATAAACGTGTCATGAAGGTAAGAAAACAAGACACAATGGTTGCCAAACTACCTGGTACTACATAACTGATTCTATTGAACAGTTTCTCAGATTTTTTATAAAATGTGCGTTTTCTTTCACCTCACAGCCAGGAAGACTAAAGAACGTGCAGGCCATTGGGTGGTACCTAGATGAGGCCAATTTGGCACAAGTGTCCGTCAACATCACCGACTTCAAGAGCACACCTATACACATGGTGTACGAGGAAATCCTGAAGGACGCACAGGTAAAACCACAGAATATATGTATAATGTGTGTGATTCATAGGCAAACCTTAGCAACTGTTTCTTATTAAACTCACTCTTGTATATGTTATTATCTTGACAAGAAAAGATAGGAATATTTCAATTTCAGTGGGTTTTTTTTTCTTTTAATGCCAAAAATAGGCTGGTCCCCCCAATTTACCAATTTTAACTAAATGTCTGTCATTGGTTAATTTTTATTTTAGAAGAAATTTTGATGTAAAGGATTGAAATTTTGATGCCACATTTCATATCTGACTCATGGAGACAGGAATGTTTATAATGTCCTTTGGTGATAACAGCTTGTTGAAGTTGCACAATTTTTTCTAACATAACTAACATTTTGTTGTCCTAATAAATAGGGGTGTGCAATATTACTGATATATACAGTTAATTGTGGTATGGCAAAGTTAATACAATATACTCGTTTGCAAAATAGAAAACTTCAGCGGGTGTTAACATTCAGCAGTATAGAGTTTTTAGCCCACCATCAGATGATGGTGGGCTATCATCTGATGGTGGGCTATTCAAATCACCCTGCGTCCGTGGTCCATGGTCCGTCCGTCGTCCGTCGTCCGTCCGTAAACAATTCTTGTTATCGCTATTTCTCAAGAAGTCTCAGAGGGATCTTTCTCAAATTTTATGTGCAGGTTCCCCTTGGTCCTTAGCTGTGCAGGACAACTTTTGAGACTGATCGGATAAACAAGATGGCCGACAGGCAGCCATCTTGGATTTTGATAGTGAAAGTTTGTTATCGCTATTTCTCAAGAAGTACTAGAGGGATCTTTCTCAAATTTTATATGTAGGTTCCCCTTGGTCCTTAGCTGTGCAGGGCAACTTTTGAGACTGATCGGATAAACAACATGGCCGACAGGCAGCCATCTT